CATGCCAAAAAAGCCCAACAGCTAGCTAGTTTATACTAACAAAAATAAATCCTTGAGATGTAGGAATCAGGCTATTGAGTAGTTGGAAAAATCCATGAATGATGGATCCACAAACACTCGCAAGAGATTCTTTTCCCGATGGTCTTTTCAAGAAAGATTAACTTCACATCACTAGTGACATGTAATTTGATATGTTCAACTACGTAGTAAGTATATAAGTGATATTTTCTGTTGAAAATTTATCACTCACTGCTTCATGTAGAGTAACTTGAGTTTGCTTGAATCAAAAAGTGACTTAATGAATCATAAAAAGGAAACTAAACATCCAAACCAGTTTCAGTCAATCAGGGGATGTACATGTAGATTTAGGGGGTAGGAGGGGCAGGCGGGTAGCTCACCACGTACGTCGCTCGTAATCCCCATCACGTGCAGCCGTGCAGGAGAGGAGGCAGGGGCTGACCGTCCTTGCTCCTCTGGCCGCTCTCCATGGCTACGGTCCATTCCTGGGAGAAAAGAAGCACACGCGGGGCAAGCGCTTGGTGGTGGAGAAGCAGCCCGAGGTGGACCAGCCGCGGATGTGCCGTCGTGGTCGCTAGGACCTCTCTGCTGCACCTCCTGCAGACTTCTGGCAATGCACTCGAGTCTACCGTGTCTATGCCGGCGACGCCCTCGGTAGACTCGTGTCGAGTGCTTTTTTACCCAACCTGAAAAAAGAACATACCTAGCGGTGGCCTGGTTACACATTTCGTTTGGAATGGTGGGGCAACATCTATCGGCATGAAAAATTAATTATCAGCATTCTATCGTATGAAAGTAGGACCAATCAGAACATAATAAACCACATCTGAAGCTTGAAATTTTATACTTTCAAAGGAAAATTAACTCTTGGTAAAAGAGCAACACTCAATGGAGTAGGACCATTAAGCAAGCAAAACTACAGAGGCAAGCATGATGCAAAACTAAACCCCATGGTTACATAGAATGACATTTTGAATATGAATCAACTATACGTACACACTAAAATTGTGCCAATTGATTCCCTCAATTATGATAACACGATATGCACATATTTTAGAAATTAAGTAATTCCTTAATATTCAGAACATCAAATATTCAGAAACCATATAGGAATCCAATGAAAATTAAGAACTATGACTGTCACCAGAGACGCATTTTTAGGATGGTACGGAACACCGATATATCGACTCAAATTAGAATTACTACTATAAAGGATAGCCATAATTCAGGAAAAAAAACTTCAGACATCCAAATATACTTCAAAAAAAGAAACATAACATCCGTTGCGAGTGACCAGTAGAGAAAGACCGTGATATTTTAGTCGAGGAAGACTAGTTAATGAAAATGCTTGACATCTTAAGATCAATATCAATGCAATTTGAGTAGAGCATTAACACCTAATCAAGTAATGGCCATTTATTAGCAACACCCTCTGCACCTAGCAACTACACAGTCATCAGGCTGCACTGGCTATGGCAGGATTGTCATATGGTCCAAGTATGAATACCTGATCACATAATGGGCTTTTATTAACATGGCGTAACCTAAGGAATGCATGAACTCAAGAAATAAATAAAAAAACACAGAAAGCTTATTGATGCATTTCCCTTCCGGTAAAACATATCAAGAGGCAACATGAATGATTGAAAGGACCTGCAGAATTTAAATGGAAGCACACCTTGGAGGATAGTAAAGTAGTGCCAGTAAAAAAATTGTAGCTTTTCACGGACAAGGAATAAAATTCACATCTACTGGATATCAGATGGGAACAAAATGGAGGAAAATAGCATATATTTGATTAGGGGGGGGGGAGATTCTTAGTGAGCTGAAGCAAAAATAATTGCCAGCCACCACAAATCAATCAAATAACAAATTCATATTACTGGCCTGTAAGAATAGAATGGTCGAAATCAAATACCAAAATTGGATTGTTGACCTACATGCAAGAAAAAACCGGAGGCAATCAAATAACAAAACTGAAGTTGATTTTGATAATGTCACTAAATAAGTAACTACTGACTGAAAAGAACAAGAAGTAGAAATTACCGGTAGCAGCACTTTGCACAAGAAACCATCTCAGTCTGCACTTCGCACAAAAAAGAGAACCCCAACTACATCAAACAATTATTCTGCAATGTTAAACCATGCCCAAGCACATGCTCGATGGCTAAATTTCCAAGTAACACATACATGGCAGCGAAATTCAAGAAAAAAGAACTATGCTCAATATCATAGGTAAATGTTTCAATGAAAAGAAGATCCCCTGCAGCATCTAATTATCATGGCACTGCCACTTTGCAAGAGATGGCAATTCAGTCAAGTGGCTTTCAGGCCACTTCCATTCTCAAAATATCAATGCAAGACTAAAATAGATAGCCATGTCAAGTATTCATGTGCTATATTGATATGAATATGTTCATGTACCAAGATAAATACTCAAATAGATAGATGATCTTGCACTGATACTGAAATATTTAAACCACACAAATGCCCAATAACAACCAGCCACGTGAATCAGTTCAGCACTTGGCACACTTATGCAAAAGAAATTATAAGTTCTGTCCAAAGCAAGAGGGTTATGGCTGTAACCTCAGCAACATCAGTAGTTGAGGTTTTAGGGGCAACTGAGGGCCATACGGTAATCTAATATCTGATTAGGACATAGAAGCAGTAAGCTCATGGAAAAAATCATTACCCAAATGATGGATGCATCATATCTGAGAGAGAAAGATGGTACATTGCCTGTTAATTACAGAGGGAGAGGGGAGCATCCTCTTGCAGACCAAACAGGCGGCCAGCAACGTCCGAGCCCAACTCGTTCGTCTCCTGCAGTTCCATCGCAATAGTCAGAGAGAGAGAGAGAGAGAGAGAGAGAACCTGGAGCAGCGGCGCAAGTAGAGGGCCACGCCCCTCCCGGCGATGGAGGAGGAGGAGCGACGGGAGAGCACCGAATCGAGCGCATGCAGCTGGTGCAGGAGGAAGAGGGACGGGGGAGCGCCGCATCGAGCGTCTACTTCTGCTCCGCTGCGACGTCTCCATCTCCATCTCCAGACGGATCGAGAGCCGGCGCCGCGCTCGAGCAGCACGGTCCAAGGGCCGGCAGTGGGTGGCGCCATCGCCAAGTGCACGCGGATGAAGATGGCGATGCCGCGGGGACGCGGATAGCGGGGCTCGATGTAGGAGGTGGCGCAGGCTGCGGCGGGTCGGGCAGGTGATGGAGCTAGGGTTAGGGAAGGGGGCGCGGCGGCGCGCGACCCAAAGCAACGCGGCCGCCTCGGCAGCGCTCCCTGGAGGCGAAGGAGTCGACGGGCCGGCGGCCGGCGGAGTGAGGGGGCGGGGAAGAGAGGAAGAGCGCGAGCTATGGAAGGGGAAGGGGCGGGGCGGGGGCGGCTCCTCCGTGAACAGGAAGAGGGAGGAAGATGATTGGGGAGAAAACCTATGGGCACTGGGCTTTTATACCCCCATAGTGAAATTACGAAAATGCCCTCGGCAGGGGACAGGAATTACGCGCGGTGGCACGAGATCTTTACAGCGGGGTGAAACTGTTCATTGCTACAGTCGCCCCTCTCCGATCCGACGGACGAGACTCTCCAGCGGCTTGATCCAATGGCCCAGATCGCATCAAGCAGCCAGATCCAACGGTCAGGAATCCAAACCACTGAGGACGCCCGGGAGTGACTGGATCTCTTATTTCTCGATTGTCATAGCAGATTTACAAACCTTTTTTTAAAACATTGCAAAATTATAAATGTGCATAATGTCCACATGAAAATGCTATGATTTTTTCCGCATGTCACATGGCAAATTTATATATTCATAGCAAAGTTACACATTTTTGCAATGTTCACATGTGAAGTTTTTAGAATTTTTGGTTACCAAAACATGGTAGCTTCTAGGATCATGTTTGTATCAGACACATGGCAAATTTACATTTTTTATGTTTCTCTTTCATGACAGCATTTCAAAAAAAGATCAAACCATGGCAAATGTATAGAACATACCACAATAAGTTATGTTTCGGTATACTCTCAGATTTATTGCCATGGCAATTTTTCAACTTCTCACAAGCACAATATTTTCTTGCAACGCAGAATTTGCCACACTACATTTTTTTGCCATGGTTTGTAGAGAAACTAGTTTTTGTCTTAGTCCGCCTTGCGAATCACCCTAATGTTTATAATTTTTGCCACGATCTAGATATATTTTTCCTGTCATAGTTGCCATTGGATAATTCCTGTTTTTTATAAATTAGAGCACGACAATTTAACTTTTGTAGATACCATGGCACTTATTGAATATATCATGGCAAAATTATGAATTAGAGGAAGGCAATTTTATAAAGTATAGCATGGCATTTTTATAAATGAGAGCATGGAAATTTGTAAATTATGTTTTCTATGCTTTTTCCTGTATCAGAAAATATTTACCTTTGGTTGATGACGAAATTTTTTCCGAAAAAAAGCAGCTATTTGGGTCTAGCCCGTTTCCAGACCTAACACGGCCCAAACCGAGTATAGTCGGTGACGGAACCGACCGATCCGCACATAATAAAGGCTGTCGCCAGGCCCTGCTGAATCCACAGCCATGAAGCGCTCTGCTAGCTGGTTGGAGACTGCGAAGCCCGTCTTCGTCACCAAGGCGGAGCGGGAGCGCCGCCAGGCGCCCGCCGTCGCCGACCGGCGACACTCTGCAGCAGATCTGTTCTACTCCCTCCCTCAGACCCCTTTTCGGCCGCCGCCTACTCCCTCGTCCAGCTCCAACCTTCTCTGTGTGACTCTGCCTATCGCGACTCTTCCGATCGGGATCGGGACAGAGGCCGCTGCCACGACCTCCACCGCGACCGATATGACTCTTCCTGCCGGGAGAGGGGTAGGGAGGGGATCAGGGAGCGAGGCCCCGGCCGCGACCGCCACAGGGAGCGGGAGCAGGACCGAGACGGGGAGCGCGGGGACCGGAACAGGGAGAAAGATCGGCTGGAGAGGATGGCGGAGCGGGAGCGCGAGAAGGAGCTGGAGGCGATCAAGGAGCAGTACCTGGGGTGTAAGAAGCCCAAGAAGCAGGTCATCAAGCCGTCGGAGAAGTTCCGCTCGTTCGACTGGGAGAACACGGAGGACACAAGCCGCGACATGAACACGCTCTACCAGTCGCCGCACGAGGCCCGGCCCCTCTTCGGCCGGGGATTCGTTGCTGGTATGGACCGCCGCGAGCAGAAGAAGGCGGCAGCCCAGCTCGAGAAGAAGATCCGTGCAGAGCTGCGGCACAGAACAGGTGCCGAGGATCGCGTGGAGGACGATGATTTGGTGGACAAGAAGAATGCTGCTGCAGCTGATTCGTATGACACCTTTGACATGCGTGTTGACAGGCACTGGTCTGAGAAGTCGCTCGCGGAGATGACCGAGCGGGATTGGCGCATTTTCCGCGAAGACTTCAGTATCTCTTACAAGGGGTCTCGCGTGCCTCGGCCGATGCGGAGCTGGAGCGAGAGCAAGCTTGGCTCTGAGCTGCTTCTTGCTGTTGAAAGGGCTGGATACCGGAAACCATCACCAATCCAGATGGCTGCCATTCCACTTGGTTTAAGCCAGCGTGATGTCATTGGCATTGCTGAGACAGGTTCCGGCAAGACTGCAGCTTTTGTGCTTCCCATGATGTCTTATATTGCACACCTGCCGCCCATAAAGGATGAAAATGGCCCTTATGCTGTTGTCCTGGCACCTACTCGCGAGCTTGCTCAACAGATTGAGGAGGAGGCTGTCAAATTTGCCAATCATCTAGGCATTAGGGTCGTGTCAGTTGTTGGTGGTCAGCAGATTGAGGGGCAGGCTTTAAAGCTCAAGCAGGGCTGTGAGATTGTAATTGCAACACCTGGTCGGCTTCTTGATTGCTTGGAGAGCAGGTATGCTGTGCTCAACCAGTGCAACTATGTTGTGCTTGACGAGGCTGATAGGATGATCGACATGGGTTTTGAGCCACAGGTCGCTGCTGTCCTTGACGCGATGCCTTCGAGTAACCTGAAACCTGAGAATGAGGACGAGGTACTTGATGAGAGGAGGATTTACAGGACTACATAACTCGCTCCGTCCTCCGCGCTCCCCCCGAGCCAACAGGTTTTGGGCGCTGGATTCTGATGGCTCTGGGTCGGACTCTGAGGCGCCCACTTCCCCTCCTCGTCCGGTGCCTGCGGGCGGCCTCCCCGTGGCTTCGGCGTCGGGCCGTCGGCAAAAATTCGCTCCTGGCGGGCGGGGTCGGATCGTCGGGCCCGTAGTGGAGGCGGATGGCTGGCGCCGCGTTTCCCGTGGGCGTCGTCGTGCTGCGGCCTGGTCTCCGGCTCGGGCGTCGCTGGGCTCTGGTGGGGCCGGGGGGGGGTGTCTCCGTCCTCCTCTCCGGGATCCCTCCTTGCCGGCTCGTCTTCGGGGGCCCCGGCCTCTCCGTCGGCGGCGGCGCCGGCGCCTGCCCTAGATCTGGCGCTGGGGCGGGTGGTGGTGCCTGCGTTGGAGACGCGGGCCCTTGTGCCGTATGATGGGCCTGGTGGGCCTGGGCCGGCTCCGGCCTTGGCTTGTGTGTCTACTTTTCCCCCTCCCTTCCCTAGACTCTGGGCCGCGGTTGGCCCAGGCCCAGCCTCCCTTGGTGCCGTATGTCGAACCGGGCCTGGCTCAGTCTGCGTATATATGGATCCGGAAGGGTTCGGTTCCCCCATTTCTAGGGTTTCCTGCCTCCTCATCTGATCTTTGTTGGCGTCGCTTCCCCATTCGCTCCTTCGTTCGATCTGCTCCCCCTCCTCCCCTCTCTCGTTCCTTCGCGGCGGTGGTCGCGATGGACCGGTCGCGCGGGTCCTCCAGCGAGGCTATCTCCGGCCAGAAGCGGGGGCGCGACGGATCTGGCGAGGCGGCAACTGATCTGGAGTATGAGGCGACGCTGCGCGCTGAGCTCCAGGCGTCGCTCGCTCCGGAGGCGGGGTCGGCTGCGGCGGCGGCCGGTTCGTCCCCGCGCGCCTCCGGATCTGGGCCGGTGGATCTCTCGCTGCCCTTGCATGGTGCTCCTTCGGCTGCTGCCGACCCGTGGGAGGTGGCGGCTGCGGGGAGTCGGGCTGGCTCGTCAGGGCCGGTCCCGTCGCCTCCCCCACATGGTGCTGCGTCCCTGGGTGGCGGGTCGGTGCGGGCTCCGGCGGTGGTTGGCGGGGGCCGTCTCATTTCGTTCCGCGTGGTGCATCCGGGGCTCCGGCCCGTCGCCCCGTTGGCTCTCTCGGTGGGCGGGGCGTTGGATCTGGGCCTGGCACGGCTGGTGATGGTATCCTCCCTCCTCCCCCTCGTGGTCCTGGTTGCATTCCTCCTCAATCTCAGGTTGCCAACCCCACTCTCACCTGCTTCGCGTGTCACCGTCCTGGTCACTTTCAATCCCGGTGCGAACCCCCCCCCCCTTCTGCCTCATCTGTAGGGAAGATGGCCATCTCACGGTGGACTGTCAAAATCGTTCCAAACCTCCCGCCTTCGTTCACTATGGCCTTGGTCTTCCTGGGTGCTCATTTTTCGCTTTAGATAGGGAGGTCCCTGCTGCAGCTCCTATCCTTGCGCTATCCAACGTCGGTATCATCTCTGTCCAGTCCAAACGCTTTACACCTCAGGTCCTTCTTGATGAGCTCCAAATGTGGGATGAGGGAGGGTGGGATTGGCAAATCCGTCAGCTTTTAGATTTCGAGTTTGCTGTGACCTTCCCTTCCAAAGCAAGTCTCCGCATGATTTCCTCTTGTTCTAGCTTCACGCTACCTCTGAACCAATTGGTTGTTTCGGTCAAGACTGCTTCTAATGGGTCCAAGGCTATCTCCTCCCTGTCTGATGTATGGGTTCTAGTTGAAGATGTGCCTCCTTCAGTGCGTACCACGGCGTTTCTGATGGCCTTCGGGGTTCTCATCGGCAAGCCTATTGAGGTCGATCAAGATTCTTTGGCTATCCTCGGGCCGGTCCGTCAGCGGGTTTGGTGTGTTGACCCCCTGTGTATTCGTGGTTCCATTGACGTCTTCCCTTCGGCTGGTGGCTTTCGGCTCAGGGTTCGGGTGGAGGGTGCTTCGGGTCCGGCGTCGCCCCCACATCCTCCCCCGCCCGGCCTCTGGCAATGATGACCAGAGCAAGGATGGGGATGGTTGCCCGGACGATTCTACGCATGGTACTGATCAGCGCTTTACCTAGTCGGAGTGGGACGGGCTCTCCCCTGAAGACCAGGATATGTTGAAGGAGAATGCTCCGGTCGGTCGGGGGGCCAATGACTCGCTGCCGGACTTGGTTGGAGGGGATGCTTCTCTTGGGGCCAAAGGCACTCCATTCTCGGCGGTGTGCTCAAATCTTCCTGCCCGCCCTGCCTCTCCTTCCCTCTCTGGCATCGAAGATCTGCCCCCGGCTGGCCCCTCTGCCTCCAAGAAGAAGAAGAAGAAGTCGGTCAAGAAATACTCCGCTAAGAGTAGAGCTTCTGGTGATTCAAGGCAGTCTGCGACTGGGCTCTGCCGCAGGCTTGATGCTGACTTGGGCACGGCCTCGGGTCCGTCCTCTATTGCGGCGTCTCCCTGCCGTGCTCGCCCTGTTCCAGTGCGGTCGCCCGCTTCCACGGCTCGTAAGAGTGGCCGCGTCTCCAACTGCAGGGAGCGGGTGGCTAATCGGGCTGCTCGGCGCGTTGTGGCTCGGGATCTGCCTCCTTCAGGTTCGCGCCCAGTTCCCTCCTCCTCTTGCCCCGTTGTGCATTCTCCGGTTCGTTTAGTGCTTCCGTCTCAATCTGATGAACATTTGCTTAGTATTTTAGATGATGTGGGCATCTGCTTAGACGCTAGTTTGGGCTCTCACTCTTCTTTACTTGGAGTTATTAGGGCGAATGAATTAGCTCAGGCAGACATTGCAAAAGCCAAGGAGGCTGGGGTGGGTCCGAGTGCCCCACTGGTTGTGGCCGGTGGGGATGAGGCGGGAGATGATAGGAGTCAGGCTCCCCCGGCTGTCTCCAATCGCGGGGTTGGGAAACGTGCTAAATCCTGCAAGGCTCCGAGCAGGTCAAGTCTTAGAATTAAAAACCTTTCCTTCAGATGAAGGCCCTATTCTGGAACATCAGAGGTTTCGGCGCTAGGGGGCGCAAGGACCAGCTTAAAGACTTGGTTCGGTCTGAAAATGTTGATTTTATTGGCCTTGTCGAGACTCTCAAACCCTCCTTCTCCCCTAGTTAGCTCTCGGCCGTTGCTGGGATGGATAGATTCAACTGGAATTCTGTGGCCCCGGATGGCCACTCGGGTGGTATTCTTCTTGGCACCAAAAAAGATGTTTTTGATTTTGTCACTTTTGAGCATGGCATTTTTTGGGCTAGCATGGTGGTCTTTCATATATCCCTTAATTCTTTACTTGAAATCATGGTGGTTTACGGTCCGGCTGACCATTCGTTGTCTTATATCTTTTTGGATGAACTTAGTAACAAAATTGAGTCCTGTCAGCTGCTACTCTTGATTGGAGGCGATTTTAATCTGATGCGATACCCTTCGGACAAGAGCTCCTCTAATTTCTCTTGGCCTCTGGCTGATGCCTTTAATGCTTTCATTAGGGACACGACTATTTGTGAAATGCCTAGGGTTGGGGCCTGTTTCACCTAGACGAATCGCCAAGCCTCTCCCATACGTTATGTCCTTGATCGGGTTTTCTTGTGTCCTAGGTGGGACTCATTGTTTCCCCGTGTCAGCCTCAGAGCACTAGCTATAGTGGGTTCTGATCACTCCCCCTTGATTCTTGACGATGGTGCTCGCTCGGTTGCCCTCCCGAGGTTTCAGTTCGATGCTTTGTGGCTCCAAGTGGAGGGTTTCGCTGACCTGATTGCGCGAAAGATTTCGGTTTTTCTGTCTTCTAATCGCCGATCTTTTGGCCCGATGGACGACTGGCATCAATGCTCCTATTTGTTTCGGAGATTCCTTAGAGGCTGGTCTAAAAATCACTATGCTGAGTCAAGGCGGGACAAAGCTAGGCTGGCTGCTCAAATTGAGGTGCTTGATGCCCATGCGGATAATTTAGGCCTCTCCGCGGCCGAATGGCAGACCCATTATGGTCTTGAAGAGGCTCTTTTAGGTATGCACCGTCAGGAGGAAATGTATTGGAAGCAAAGAGGCACTATTAATTGGACTTTAAAGGGTTACTCGCCCATGGCCTACTTCTTTGCCATTGCAAATGGTAGACGTCGGAGATGCCTGATTGATTGCCTCCTTATTGAGGGCGTCAGGGTCTCTGATCAGTCTGTGATCATGCGGCACGTGGCTCACTTCTTCTCTTCCCTCTTATCTGCTAAACCTGAGACGGGTTTTAGGCTGGTGCAGTCCTTTTGGTCTCCCCTCGAACATGTTTCAAGTGCTGAAAATGAGAGTTTGATGATCCCCCTCTGAAGAGGAGATTCTCGAAGCGATTCGATCGGCCAATTATAATGCGGCTTCCGGGCCTGACGGTTTCTCCATTCCTTTCTTTCGGCAATTCTGGCCTCAGCTAAAAGGCCTCATTCAGGCTATTATTCAAGGTTTCTGGCTAGGTACTGTAGACATCTCTAGACCGAACTACGCGGTTCTCACTCTCATCCCTAAGGTCAAAGGTGCTGACTTGATTTCCCAGTTTTGGCCCATTGCTTTAATTAACAATTTTGCGAAGATTCTAGCTAAGGGCTTGGCAACTAGGGTATCCCCGATTGCTCATCGTATCATTAGTCCTTTTCAATCTGCGTTCATAAAGGGGAGATTTATTCTAGACGGGGTGCTTTGCTTGCATGAGATAGTCCATGACCCGCGGACCAAGGGCACTAAGGCTGTGGTTCTTAAGCTTGACTTTGAAAAGGCATATGACTCGGTGAGTTGGACTTTCCTTCGCCAAGTTCTTCTTACTAAGGGCTTCGAGGGTGCGGTGGTTCACCGTCTTATGCAGCTCGTCTCGGGCGGGCACACGGCTGTAGCGGTGAATGGGCAGATTACTAATTTCTTTGCTAATGGTAGGGGCCTTAGACAAGGGGATCCGGCGTCTCCGCTGCTCTTTAATTTCGTTGCGGATGCTCTTTCTCATATTCTTTCTCGAGCAGC